AGCCTGGAAGATAAAAATGCAAATTCAGGTAAATCAAGTGGATGGCTCTGTCTGCACCTCCTGTGCAAAGAGATCTCAGCAGCTGCTCAAAGTGCTTTTACACACCCAGAACCTCCTGCTAGCAATGATTCCAAGCACAATTGCAGTCCAAGACAAGTGAAGGAGTGTGTCTGTTCAGACAACATGATCTCCCTGGATTTCCCTGGATTTCTGTACTGTTGGGCCTGCAGGGCTCAAACAATTCCTGTTATTCTCTACTCTCTCCTTTTGATGCCCTGCAGTTACCCAGAGATGGCTTTTGGTTTCCTGAATGAACTTTCTGGAACTGAGTGCCCTTAACTTTCCTTTTTCAGAAGTGGTTTTTAAAATGTTACATTTCTGTGAACTTTTCACTGACAATTTTGGTGCAATAAAGCAAAGCTGGGTTTGCTGTAGGAAGTCACAACACAAACGGATTTTTTCAGCCACGGATATTTTCAGCACTGTTCTTTCTTCAGGCTCTTTCTCTGCCTCCGTTTCCAGCAGCCAGAATAAAGCAATTTTTCACTACTATCTTTTTATTTGTACTGACTTTCAACGGGATTGAAGTAGCACATTCACATCACACACACAAAAAAGTGCCCCCACACTGGTTTCACTGCAAATTCAAAAGGTGTAAATTGGAGCTGTTGGCTCTTTTCATTTTCATTTTTGTGTTGTGAAGTCCTTGGAGGAGTTTGTTCTCACATCTTGTCCCTGTGAATTGATCTGATATTCTCTTTGTCTGCTCTTCTGCAGAACTTCTCAGCCAAACCACCACTTAGCATCACTTTGTTTCTCAGTCACTTGAGGAGTCTTCCTCCAGGCTGGCCTTAAACTTGCAAAACGGAGCAAAAGCAGCCAGGACTGGATCCAGAGTCCCGTGGTGTCCCTGGTGTGATGCAGAATGTGGGCAAAATACGGTGTAGCATAGAGTAGTGACTGTGGCATGTAAAATAAACATCTTGGTGTGTTCATGCTGTCGTGCAGCTGCGTTTGAAACATGTTCCTAGTGCTCACTTGGCATTTCTGACTGTCCAGCCACCTTTCTGTAGCCCTGGGGTTGGTTTGTCAGGTTGTTTAAAGGTCAGTGTGTTAACTCATCTCCATTTTGTGGTAGGATACCTTGGAAAAGTGGTTTTTCCTTAGCTCAGTGCCTGCACTCCCTCTTCACAGGTTTATCTTTTGCTCTGCCTTGATTCCGTTGCAGGATTTGAGCCTTTTGTTTGGAATAGGTCAATAGGCTGGTATTTTAAACTAGAAGTTTTCCAAGTACCTTGCTTTAAAAGGATTAAACTGTATACTTAATTTTCCTAGAGATGTTGGAAGCACTCTGTACTGTTTGTATAAAAAGCTGAATGTTTCTTCTCAAAAATTTTCAGTAAATCCACATTAAGACTTCAAAGGTGTCTCGTGCCCCTGTTGCTGTGTCTGTGTCCTCAGTACCACTCGTGACCTGATCCACTCCCAGTTAAAATGCAATTCCAGTTACCTTGTGCTTTAAATAAAACCTGATTTCAAACAGCACTTTTTTTTTTTTTATTTTAATTGTTGAACTTGATTTGTATATAGGAACTGGTGTACATTGCTGAGTTTCTAATGTTTAATAAATGGGGTTCTGCCCATGGACCGTGCATCTGGAGTGTTCCTATGGTTTGTGTCATCATCTTGAGTGAGTAATAATTTCTGTGTTCCCTCTTCTTCCCTCCTCACTGAGGATGTCATGAATTCTTTGTGACAAAAATGAAGGAGGAGAATTTATAAAATACAAAGGGGTGGCTTTTGGGAGGTGAGAATGGTGCTTGTGGTAGCAGGACACCAAGAGATTTTTTTCCTGGTGTTTGGTCAAGAAGTGGAATCTTTGCTTGTGTAATTGGGTGTGTGTCAAGGAGCATCTCTGGAATTGAACAGCCAGGCTGCAGTGGCAGTGTCCTCAGCCTGGCCCAGTTCTCATCACTTGTTCAGGAAAGAGAAGTCTGGTGGTTTGCAGCAATAGGAAATCCCTCTTACACATCACTAAAGGCTGAGCAATCAAGATTCTCTTGAGTGGCAATAAATCCCACACGTGGTACCAAGGTTGCAGCGTGAGTCTCTCAAGGCTGAATCTTCATACCAGCAGTTCCAAAAGCAGATTTGATTTCCTGTTTTGATTTCCTGCTCACGGTGCCCATGAGAGCCCCAGGGAGGGCACAGAGTGGGCACAGCCTGCACAGCCCTGCTACTCCAGTGCCAGCTCTGGGGAGTGTCCAGAAATCTCCTTTTCCCATTTCTCCCACCCTCCTGAGACACCAATTAATTATAATTACTGCAGTAGATACATGGAGCCATAAACCCAGCTCTTCCAAAGCTTATTAAGTTACCTTTTTTTTAATGAGTGCTGGTTCATATTTTTAAAAAATGCACAATGCTCATTTTTCTTTCCAGTCAGAGCCCAAAACTAGTTAATTTAGATATTAATGCTTAAACCACTTGGTGTTTTTGATTATGGCTCTGGTGAGTTACAGATCCTGGCTGCAGTACCACAGCTGGCAGGTAAATCTGAAAAGAGATTTATTGCTTCATTTTTTACCCCAGTGACTGGTTTTGGGTGCTTTGGGAACAATCTTTAAGGATCCTCAAGGGACAGCAAGGACTCCCTTCATTTTTTTATTCCCAGTTCTTTGCTGCTGCTTTAGGAACACGTGTTTTGACATGTAACTGCTCTTTATAAAAGGCAGGAACATCCCTGCCCCCATTTCTTTTATTAATGTAGAAGCTTTTCAATTTTTCATCCCTTCAGTTGGTGATAGTTCAGCCTCACTTAATTTTATCTGCAAATGTGAAAATCTTCCTTTCAAAAGACAGAGTAGAAAGAGATTTTTCAGGTAGATCCTGTGTGGTAAAATGAGTCATTTTTAGGAGGGTATTTTGAATTTGTACAGGTATTTCTTTTTTTAAAAGTGCATTTGGTCTAACCTCTGAACACTCAGATATACTGCACACCAAACTCTTCAAAGGAACTGTTTTCAAGAATAAAATTAAATTAAAATTGATGCAAGAAAGAAGAGGTGGGTGTTTTCAGATGGAGTGGGAAAATATGTGACAGAATCCACTCTGTTAATATTTTTATGAGGCAGCCTTATCCCTAAATTATGCCACCTGCAGAAAAATCTGTGGATAAAAATACACGTAACATTGTCACAACTATTTCTATTGATGCAGCACTTTGTTATTTTCTCATTTCAGGAGAAGAAAGCGAAGTTCTAAAGAAGCTCCAGGTATTGCCTAGAGTCTGATACGAGGATCACAGCAAATGGAAGAGGGTTCCTTATTTATTTTCAGATGTTAAATCTTTGCAATGTTAACTTTTCAGGCCCATTTCTGCTCAGTTTATTTACCTGTTCCAATTTATTATTTTTGGTGCGTTTGCAGCTGGAGGATCTACCCAGCTCTTACCACATGTCACAAACAGGGAATGGTTCTGACATGTGAAGAGTATCAATTGCAGTAGTTTGGACATAATGTTCCACTCATTATTTATATTTTTAGCAAACAGTTTGAATAATATTATGCTCATTTTTAATGTTTTGTTACACCTGTAAGGTAGGACTGGTTTTCATCCATAAACAGGCAGAGTAGTTTCTTTTAAAAACTCATTTTTAAGCCAAAAATGTTCAGGTGCTCTTTCAGTGCACTCACTGTCCAACTGATGCAGTTTCTTTGCCTGTACCCACAATTGTTCCAATAAAACTTTAAAAAAATCTTCTTTTTGATTACTTGTCATTATTTGAATAATTTCTTAAAACTTTGTACTTTGGAGAAGAAACACCAACTTTCTAGAAGAAATCCAAAGAGTTCATTAATAACTCTGGAAAACTTAGAGATTGATTATTCAATAAAGAGTAGAGAAGCAGTTTAGATCTTAATTTTTAATGATATGTAGTAAATAAGGCAAGAGTGTAAAGGATCACTAGTGACAGAGAAGGGGATAAGGGGATAAAACCAGAATTTATGTTGTCCTAGTACTTATATGCTGCTGATAAATCAGGTAAAACGCTTCACATGAGCTACCTAACTGACACTTTAACACATTAAACCTTCACTAAATACTGCTAATAACGTTCCCTGTGCACTCTAGTGGGTCCCTTTAGGATCAAGGCCGGCCGTGGGCGTTTTTAAGGCCGACAAACGCTGCCTACGGCGGCTGGTCGCGGCAGTGCGAGGGCCCGCTGGGGTTGTAGCTGGGGTGGAAGTCCATGTGCTCGTAGGCCGTGATGAAGGTGTCGGGGCCGGTGCAGTGGCTCTTCTCCAGGGACGTGTTCAGGCTCTCGTTCCTGCACATGCCAAACCTGCCCAGGTGATCCGAAAACGTGTGCGGGAGGGTGTGGAAGGAGTTCTGTGGGGGCGACAAAGGGTAACGGGGTAAGTAGGGATGTTTAAAAGACCAACATGGACAGCACCTGCAAAGCCCGGCTGGGCACAGGGCTGGACGCGGCTTTGGGCCGTGTCTGCACCCATCGGGGTGCTCCTACCGGCAGCTCGTGCACCGTGGGGGCCCTGCTGCCGTAGCTCTGGTTGGCGGTCCGGTAACGGGGGTGAGCCGGCGGCTGCCTGCGGGGGAGAGCAGAGATATTGCGGGGACAGAGCACAGCTATTGTGGGGAGCGGGGCCCGCCCGGGCCGGCGGGGCAGAGCACAGCTATTGCGGGGAGCGGGGCCCATAGCCGGGGTAGAAGGAGAGCTCCGGGCCGGCGCTCACCCGTAGCCGCGGTAGAAGGTGAGCTCCTCGAAGCGCCGGGGCACGCCCGGGCTGGGCTCGGCCATGGCGGAGCCGCCGGGCCGGGCCGAGCCGGGCCGCGGGGATGGAGCGTTACCCGGCGACCAAAGGAGGAGGGCGGGGAGCGACCGCAACCGCCCCGGGGCGCGCCCGCCCCGCCCCGCCCCGCCCCGCCCCGCCCCGCCCCGCAGGAAGCGGAAAGCGCCGCTGACCTTCCCCCGCTCCTCCTCCTCCTCCTCCGTCCCCGTGCCCTGCGGCGGGCTCGGAGCATGGCGCTGCCGCGGCTCCTGCGGGCAGGTGAGCGGCGGGGCCCGGCCCGGCCCGGCCCGGAGCGCCCCGGCCACCCCCGTGTGACCCGCGTGTTTCTGTCCCGCAGCAGCCCCGCGGCTCTACAGCACCGTCCCGGCCCCGGCCCCGGCCCCGGCCCCGGCAGGCAGCCGGCCCCGCGGTGAGTGCTGCCGGCACCCCTGGCACCCCAGCCCGGTGCGCTGATACGAACCGGGCACGGTGCATCCTCTGTGCAGTGCCGGCCCGTCCCCCCAAACGCAGTGAGTATTTGTTTCCCCTCTCTCAGCTGACGATGACAAGCTGCTCACCGAGCCTCTCAACCACCCCGACTTCTTCAGCGTGAAGGAACTCTTCACCCTGAAAGATCTCTTCGATGCCCGGGTGCACCTGGGCCACAAAAAGGGATGTCGGCACAGGTGAGTGATGCTTTTCGTGATGCAGCGCTTGTTGACAGCAGGAATGCTTCCCCAGACCGCATCTGCTGGACTGGTCTGAGCCTGGAGCTGCCCACACAGGGCAGGGTACAGGGATCCCCCGAGGGTGCGACACTGGGACAGACACAGGGCTCTCTGTGCTGTCAGCCAGGAGCAGGAGCATGGGATGGTTCCTCCCCCACATCCAGAAGCGCTCAGTACCTGCACACCCCATCCCCGTGTGTCCCTCTGTGTCCCCACAGGTTCATGGAGCCCTACATCTTCGGCTGCCGCCTGGACCAGGACATCATCGACCTGGATCAGACCATGCAGCACCTGCAGCTGGCCCTCAACTTCACGGCCCACGTGGCCTACCGAGGGGGCATCATCCTCTTCGTCAGCCGCCGGCGCCAGTTCTGCCACCTGGTCGAGAGCACGGCGCGGGCGTGCGGGGAGTACGCGCACACCCGCTACTGGCAGGGCGGGCTCCTCACCAACGCCCGCATCCAGTTCGGCCCCGGCGTGCGCCTGCCCGACCTCCTCATCTTCCTCAGCACCCTCAACAACGTCTTCGAGCCACACGTGGCCATCCGCGACGCGGCCAAGATGAACATCCCCACGGTCGGCGTGGTGGACACGAACTGCAACCCGTGTTTGATCACCTACCCCATCCCCGGCAATGACGACAGCCCCGCGGCCCTGGAGCTCTACTGCAGGCTCTTCAGGATGACCATCATCCGTGCCAAGGACAAGAGGCGGCAGAGCGAGGCCGTGGAGGAGCTGCAGAGGAAAGCCCAGGGCAAGTAGAGCCCCAGGGATGGGCTCGGTGCCTCTGCTCCACTCCACAGGGTTGGCTCTGCATCCAGCACCGCTGTTGGCGCAGCTGGCTGGTGGGAAAAGGACCCCCAGCCCTGTGCACGGTGATCCCACAGCCATGGAGGGTTTCCAGATCCAAAAAATTGTCCAGAGCAATGCAAGGGAAAATGGAGCCAGGCTCCTCTCCTTGAGTTTGTCACTGTTGCAGGGAGTGCCACTGTCCTGTGGCTTTCCTGAGCTCATGATCTCACCTGAAACCACTTGTATCTTGTGTCTGTTCTTAGCAAATAAAGGGATTTATCCCTGTGATCCTTTTTTGGTTTTTCCCTAGTGGAATGGGATGGGGAGTCTGGCCAGGGCAGTCAAGGCAGTGGGACGGAAAAGATGTCCCCAACCTGGGGATATTTCAGGGTGCCTGATGCAGGATGAGAGGATCCCCAGTGGGGTTTGGAGGGTCCCCAGTTTGTCCCGGGACACGCTGAGAGCCCAACCTTTGCCACCACGGGAGGTGGGGGACTCCAGGAGCAGCTGAGAAAAGGGATATCCATCTTTTAGTAGCCTCGTGTCTCCGTGGGAGGCCCTGGAGCAGTCCTGGGCAGGGATCCGTGTCCCGTGTCCCATCCCGTGTCCCCGGTAGCGGTCCCAGCCCCGCCCTCTCCCGGCGCTGGGTCCTCCCGCCCGTCAGGGGGCGCTCTCGGGCGGCAGAGCGAGTGCGCAGGCGCGGCCGTTCACACACTATATAAGGGGGAGGTGAGGTCTTCATCGCCCTTTCAGCGGGCGCGGGGCGGCGGGAGCGGAGCTGTGGCGGTGCTTCAGAGGGACCGGACTGGGAGCGGACCGCGACCGGCCTCTCCCGGCGCGGCCAGCGGGAAACCCTGCGTCCCTCATGCGCAGCAAACCGGTGCTGGTGGAGGCGGCTCCACAGCTGCGCCTTCCCCGCCATGATCTGGCGAGGCCCCTTCATGGCCGGTGCCGCTCTCCGCCGGCCCCGGCGCTGAGCGGCTGCGGCGGGAGGAACCGAGCGAGGTGAGGCTGGGAACGGCCCCTTCCCCTCAGCCCCGCGGCCCGGCCCGGCCCCGAGCGGCCCCGGGGCTCGGGGGGCTCCGGGAGCTGCCACGTGCGCGGCAAATCTGCAGTTGTGGAGTGCGCCAGAAGCAAAATCTATCTATCTATCTATCTATCTATCTATCTATCTATCAATATGATATTAATAATATGTCCATATATTGTGACTCGAATATATTGCAAGGTGTATATTTATATCTCTAATATAAAGCATACACAGATGTGTATTTTTTAATATGCTCCACTGAAAAAAGGAAGAAAATTCAGGGATTTCAGGTTTTCAACGATTTCAGTAGCTAACATGAATCTTCAGTGGATATCGTTCTTTTAACTGTTGTGATTCTCTGGTTTTCAGATAAATGGTGTGCTTCACCAAAAGAAGGCTGTTAGGCATTATTAACAACATTTTTCCTTTGTTTTTCTTTTCTTTCTACAGCCTGGCAGTGGACAAAAGATGAAGTGACCAGGATGGTGTGAGTTCAGAAATGCAGGGTGATCCTTCAGGAGGGGGCTGCCCAAGAAACTTCAGCCACCTTGCTGACTGTAAGTGGAGTGTTACACGTGGTATCTGCACATGCAGCAAATACCTTGCTAGCACTGCTTTTGAATTGTGATAAAATCTTCTTGTAAATATAACAGAATTATGGGATGGTTTGGATTGGAAGGAACTCCTTCCACTCTCCCAGGCTGCTCAGAGCTGCATCCAGCCAAGCCTTGAACACTTGCAGTGATGGACACCCACCCATAATTATATTTTTCCAGTGGTTTTGGGTTATTTGCTCCCCCCAGGCTGCCACTGGCGTTGCAGAGATGGCTGCTGTGGCATCTTTGTGTCAAAGAGTGGCAAGAGAGACCCAGGCTATGTTCTACGCTCGTTTGTTCTGCACCCCGTGAGCAATCAGAGTGATTGATAGCCTGACATCCCTAATCAGCCTCAATGGAGACAGGGGAAACCAGCTCTGAACTGACTGGAATGTGGGGTCTGGATAAGGGGGGGTCTGTTCTGTGCAGAGTGGAGTTTCTGATCCTGTGGTTGCCACGTGTGTTACAGAAGGATAAGTGGAAGTGATCTGTAAAACCACGTGGTAACACTAGGAATTTATCATATCAGAAAATAAAAATACTCCTGTGCTGTTATTGATACCTCTTAAATTCCTGCTGCCAGTGAAACAGCACGTGTGTAACCAGGCTTGGGGCTGTGTCTAAAGGCTGTCGATGCATTTCTCTCTTTTCCAGAGGCAGACCAGAGGTGAGCTGCAGTGCCAGAGGTGCCAGCCCTGCCCAGGTGAGCTGCAGTGCCAGAGGTGCCAGCCCTGCCCCATCTCGTGTTGCAGGCATGGCTGCAGTGCCGTGTCTGTGTCATTCGGTGGCAGACAGCAACAGGCGAGGTCTTCCCTGGTGCTCTGAGCCCTGTGAGCTCTCAGGATTGCTCAACAACCTGACATTTCAGTTCTTTTCCTGCTCTCTCTTTAATGGGGAATGGTGGAGGATGGACACCCCTTTAGCCCGTCCCTGTATCCAAGTGGTGCTGTTTGTCACTGTCCCTTCTCGAGGGACACCAAGAGCAGCTCTGGGCACGCCGAGATTGTGACCCTGAGCTTTGCAGTGAGTGACAATGGCACTGCTGAATGGGAAACCTCATTAAACGGCCATTACAGGGCCAGAGGGGCCTCAGTGGGGCAAAGTGAGCCCTCCAATTGGCAAAAGTCACTGGCTTTGGAGAAGAATGTTAATGAGGTTGTGGGGATGTGGTTCTGCTTGAGGATGTGGCTCTTCTATTTAAATTCCTTAACTTCTTTTAACCCTGCAATGCGTGTTTGGGGTTTTTCATCAGGCTTTGCTCCCTCCAGGGGTCCTGTGTGGGCTCTGAGTGCTAATGAATGTCTCGTTAGAGCTCCCTGTGAGGCACAGCAGAACCATGAACATTTTCCTGATGGCATTTGTGGAACTGCCCTTCCCCAGGCAGCACTCCTGGGCCATGGGTATTGCTTTGCTGAAGGAAAAACTGGCTCTGAGCTGTGGAAAACGTGAATGTTTTACATGAGAGTGGTTTAGAGAGGAATTAAAAATCTCTCTGTACATAGCACAGCCCTTCATCATCCAGGACTCGTTTATGTCATGGCTTTAAAGCTGGAATAAGCTCAGATTTTTTTTTCCCTGCACTATTAATAGCTTGGCTGTGCACCAGGGTTGGCAAACTCACCTTGGATTTTTGGGGAGTGATGGAATAACCCAGAGCAGGCTCCAGCTATCCTGCTCTTAAATTATCCCTTTCCTCAACTCCCCCAGCCAGATACTTTTCCAAAAACCCTCTGATGTCCTGCCAAAGAGCTTCTCCTAAATTCCTGCCATGTCCTTCTGGGCTGAAAGAAATCCCTGTCTCAAAGTTTCCTTGTAAACCCTGATAACAGAGCCTTAAAATGTTTCATTTTATATTTCATCTTTATTTTCTCTGGGAAGTGAAAACTCTTGGGACAGACCCAAGACAATGAGGGCAGCAGAGTCTGGATGGATAGCAAGGGTTAATTAATTAGCAAAATTAGTATTGACTTTATTGCTCCCTTTTCTTGCCTGTTTTTCAACTTTCCTGACATCCTGGGCCTTATTTTTTTATTTGCAGATTATGCCTTGAGCTGTAGAATGTCTGACAAACTGAGAACTGCTTGGCAGCATCCACGTCTGATGGCTTGGAGATTCCTAAAAACTTGATCATCTGTGTTTTCTCTACATGGTTAAGAAGGATTTAAATAAAAAAAATCCTAAATAAAGATGCCACCTACAAGACTGAAAGGATTATGCTGTGTGTTTGTAATGCTATTTTTTAACCATTCTAGGATGTAAGACTTTGTGGATATGAGAATTTAGGATTGTTTTAAAGCAATTCCAGGTTTTACCTCCATCCTCTTGGGCACAGAGGGGATCCAGTGAGATCAGAGTATCAGTCTTGGAGTGTCCTGGCTTTTCTTCCATCTCCTGTGGGGAATCTGGAGGAATTTAAGTGTAAAACAGCTTTGCCTTGACTCATTTCTCTCCTGTATCCCTGAGTGGTTTGTAAACTGCACTCACTTTGTGCTTTTTATTAGTGGTGAGCAGAATTCCTGGGAGTGTCCAGGGCCACAGGGGATGTGCATTAATGGAACAATTGTTGTCACAAGTGTCTTTATTTCAATTAAACTGTCAGGGCCTGGTCCCTCAGCTGCAGGAGCCACCTCTTCATAAACATTTAGAGAGGTTCTGATGTTGGGGAAATTGTTTTCCTCCAGCTCTCCAGGTGCTTTAGCACTGCTTTGAGGGAAGGAAACAGCAGGGATTTAGTGGGAGTAAACAATGGAGGGAAGGACGGAAAATGGCTTTTCTGCCACCCTGAGGAGGGGATTTTGGCAGGGGCTTGGATTCCTCTGCAATGGCAGGAGGAGCTGGGTTTGCCAGGGGAGCTGTTGCCATGGGGATGCAGGACAGGGGATGAGGAGCCTGGAGCATCCTTGCTGAATTCCAGGGAATTCCAGCCCTGCCTTCCCTCCCTGCACCTGCAGACAGGACCTTGGCTGTGCCCATACCCAATCCAGGCTGAGGAGCCCTTCAAACACAGAATCCTTGGGAGTGCTCACCTGCATGGAAAATCACGTTCCACAGGCCACTCCTCAGCAGGGACTGAGCTCTGCTGGACACAGAGCACTCCTGACACCAAAATCTGCCCAGTGAGAGGTGATGAGGAGCCTAAAGAACCAACAGAAGGAAAATCCTGATCTTTTGTCCCCAAAGGGCTCCTGAATTTGCTGCAGTGTCAGGTGTATTTTTATTTTGTGATTGCACATCAGCTACACGCTCGCTTCCCTAAGGAATTGTTGGCAGGAGAAGCAGCACATGCTCCAGCAGCAGGAATATGGCTGTGCTGGGAACAGAGCAACCTTGGGGGAGTTTATCCAGCTCTTCCTCCCTGCCCAGAGCTGTAAGATTGCTATAATTGAGCATTTCAAGGAAACAGCCATAGTGGGAGCACAGACACAGCCAAAAAAAAAAATGTCTGGAGACCTGCTAAAAGCTTTGCCTGGAAATTCATTTTAATAATGAGAGAAGCACTGGATTATTCTGGTATTAACCTTCAACCTCTGCAGGGCAAGCCCAGCTTAGTTTTTGGAGAATTAAACGGAGGGGTTGGCTTATCCCTGCTCTGAGCGTGGTGGGCAGTGACACCCGAGCACACGGAGGGGTCACAACGTTCGTGTTTAGCCCTTTGCCTTTAAGCCATCCTTGGCCTCGGCCGCTTCCAGAGCGGACACGTGAGGGAATGGCTTGTGCTGCCAATTCCGGACCGGGGGCAGGAGCAGCTGGGGGGAGCCTCTCACAAGCCTCGGCATCACCGTCAGGGTCAGGCACTTAAAAACGGAACCAAAGCACTGCCACGATTCTCCACGGTGCACCAGACAGCTGATCTGCTTCCTGTGTGACAGCTGGAGCTGATGGCAGATGACTCAGACACTTAAGGAGAGGCTTTGAAAGGGGAAATCTACCTTTCCCTCCTTTTTAGATCACAAACAAGCTGGTACTTAACAGGCTGCTGTTTGGCTATTGATGGACGGGTGTGATTCACGTAAAAGCTGTTTATTTACATCAGAGCCGTTCCTCAAAAGGAGATGTGACAAGTACAGCATGAATGATTCATTCCCATCGCTTTGCTCTGCTTTCCTGCTCATCAAGGAACAGTTTGATGCATCCAGCTGGGCTCTGCTTCCTCATCCCTTTCCGCGTCTCCTTCCTCCCCCAAGCCTGCTCAGCCCAGCTCCGTGTCCCAGCTCTGCTCCTGCCAACCCATCCCTGATGCTGCTGGGTGGTGCAAGTCATGATGTTGGTTTTCCATGAAGGAGAAGGGGCTGCAGCTCTGCTGAACTCCCTGTGCAGGGGGTGTTTTTCCTGGGGAGGAGAGGATGGAGAAACAGGCCTTCAGCCCATGGACCTCACTCCAAGCTCACAGATTGGAAATTCCAGGGCCGTGCTTCCCCCGTTAGGAATATTTGGTGTTGGAAATCTTCTTCCAGAGCAAGGTCTTGAGGTTGTTGAGCACGAGGGAGTGGTGCACTTCCATCTGGCTGGCCAGGCCACTGAGGGTCATGCAAGTTCGGAGCTGTTTCTGCAGCTCTTCCTTCAGCTCCAGGGGAGCTCCATAGAGCAGATAGTCCTGCAGCAGCCCGCACACCTTGGCCAGGTTGGGCTGCACCACGTCGCTCTTGCACTGCTTCAGGAGCTTGTCACACGTGGCCGTGCAGTCCCGCCCGTAGGTGCAGTCCCCGTTCTGCTCACAGTGCCGGCCCTTGAGGAAGCCTCTGATTGTCATCTCCGTGGCCACCTTGCGCAGGTTGACCATCTTGAAGTCGAACTTGTCGTTGTAGCCCACGTTCCTGAGGCTGCTCTCGCAGATGTAGAAGCTGCCGTAGGTCCCGTGGAAGATTTCCTCCACGAACTCCAGGAGGCCGATGGCGATCTTGGCGCGCCGGGGCCAGGCCGGCGCAAACCACTGGTGGATGAGCTGGTGGGCGAGGGAAGGCAGCAGGGACTGCAGGAAAGGGGGGACATCCACCCCGTACAGGGAGGTGTGGGGGATCTTCTCGGTGACGTAAAGGTCCCCACAGTGCCCCAGCAGCTTGGCCGTGTGCTCCTTCTCGTGCAAGGAGAACATGAGCAGGAACTCGTTGAGCTGGAGCAGCGCCCAGATGGATTTGGCCTCTGCCAGGGACACCTTCCCGTCACGGTTCACGTCTGCCATGGTGATGATCCGGCTCACCAGGGCGGGAAGAGATGGCTGATCCCCCAGCTTGGACTGCAAACAGCACAAAATTGGCATCAGACCCTCACAGCTCTCCGTGTTTGGGTGTCACATCACAAAACAGAACTGGGGGAGCAAAGAACTGAGCTGGGGAGGGGAGGAAATGGTGACACTCCAGAAAATGCCACACAACGTGTGGGCATCCAGCTCCAGCAGAATTTTACCAGCCTCAGGGCTGCTCTAGAGCTGGAATCCCACCACTGCTGCAGAAGCCCCAAGAGGGGAAACTACCAGGACCACCAAATCATCTCTGCCCAGCACAGATGCCACCCACAGCCGTGGCACAGCCACCTCCAGAGATGCTGCTACTGAAATCTCACAGATAAGAACTCATTTCCTCCACTCATCAGTGCATGGCACTGGCACCAGCAGTGCCAGTGGACGGGGGGCACAGGATGGAGGAGCTCTCGTTCAAAGGGAAGGAAAAA